CACTGACTTCCTCCCATGGTGCGACGGCCGGAGCTCTTCTTGAAGAAGGAGACACGACTGCTGGGACAAGAGCTTTATTCGCCTGACGTTTCGGATTGTCAGGCAATGTTATTATCCCAACGATCGTGTCTCCTTCACGACTGCTTCCTGGGGCTCGTCTCTCAGCCTCTATTGTCCATCCGATCAATTGTAGCGCCTTAAGCACCCAGAGGAAAGCCCTTCCCACTTTCTCCACATGTAAGATTGCCTTTGAACGCGCTGAAACCGTTCACGGTGTTTTGTCCTCATGTTGGGGGTAGCTGCAGACTTCTCCACCCATCAACATGGCCTTGCATCTCGCAGTTTTACGATTCTGCAAATTATTCTGTATGGAGTAATCTAGGACATTTTTATGGAAAAAGCACTTATTTGGGGGCCTCGTATTTCTCCGATGTCCTACATACCTGCCGAAGGGTCTTTCAACAAAAGTTTTTTTCTTCCTTTTCGATTCATCTTCGTTAACCTCCCAAGGCAAAGAAGAAGGCGCATTTGGAGAAGTGGTATGGCCTGCCAAAGGGAGAGCTGACTCCAGAAGTGAAAGCAGACTTGGAGCTCATCGCAAAGCGACAAATTCTCGGCCAGGATCTGCACACTCGGAAAGCTGACGGTCGTCACAGCCACTTCCAGGTAGGCCAAACTACGTGCCTATGTCTAACTGGGTCCTGTTCAGCTTGCGAGAATTGCGATAGCTACTGCTTACTCACATCTATTCCTTTGATTTTCTTCTCCCAATACGCAGGTGGGTGTAGTGGCTGATGATCCCGGCTCCTTCTACGACCGCATACCGCGGAAGCAGCGGAAGAAGACCCTGGTTGACGAGCTGTTGGCTAATGCTGACTACATGAAGTAAGCTTCGTCTTTGATTTTGTTTCTTTCTATTAGCAGATACTGCCTTTTCTACAACTTACCATGGTTCTGTTGTTAATCAAAGCCACCAAGGCACCGGCTTTTTATCTGCAAATCAAGCTAGTGATTTATACCGCTTGACCAAATCAGACTGTCGCCGATGCTAGTAGTAGTAGAGACGGGCCTCCTCCTCTGTTCTCCTGCTGCCGTGGAACTGGCGACTGCAACCAAGACCACAAAGTAAACTAAGCAGAGGACTTTTGCAGAGGTCCTGACTTCGGTCATGTCTGTCCGTCAACATTCCCCATCTTGTGCACACACACCTTGATACACACTGCTGCCCTTCGCATGCCTTTGTAGTAGTAGTTATGGCAACCTAACTATCGTGATTTTAGGCTTTTACGACTTCAGTAATACAACTCCACACGTTTCAGGAACTGAAAATACTATAGGTTTCGATACTAATTTTAGGAAAACAAAATGGTGCTGTTTGTTCATGAGGTAGGAAATGCAGTCTACCTCCGAATGCCCACAGACTCAAGATGATCTGCTGTTTTAGTGGCACCATGCGACAAGGCTAAGTCGTGTCCAGCCCACTCATTACTCAGCCTGTAATTGCATTAATCATCGAGGCCTCATGTCACCCGAGCGCGCAAAACGGAAAACTGTTGACAATGGAAAATAACATAGTCATTGTGTCCCGTAATGTTGCCTTTGTCTTCGCTTCCGCCCTGCAGAATCTACTGCGAATGTTCTGAGACAACTGCTGGCCGATTCGTCTCGCCTTTTAAGTATACTGTTTACGATACTTGCATTTGGCCTCCGCTGTATAACCGTTGTTAACATTCTCATGATGGAAATAACGCACATGACAGTCCGTACCCTCCATGCCGTTGGCTCGATTCGTTGTGTTACAGTTCACGGTATAACCACATGCTCTTTTCACTTTTTGACTCACCTAAGTGATTGTATGACGTCATCTTGCCGCATTGGGTAATCAACGAACCTCACTGAAAGTATTACTGACGGCGACAAGGGAAACTGCGGTGGCCCTTGTTGACCTATTTGTACTCAACCACCTCTGGGCCTGGAGCGTCCGCACTCCGTATCCCCGTAGTCAGGGTCAGACCGGTAATGTGACTGTAACCTCTAGTTTTAGCCAGATTGGCACAACTCGAAGGCAGGGGTCTCCGACTGAGAGAGTTTGAACTCATGGATCACTGCATGATGTTTAGGGCCTATTAAGCAGCCCAATATGGCAGACGCTGTGTAGGTCACCTAATCACTTAAATGCTTATTTTTTGTACGAAAAGTTTATTTCGTCTTTGCCCCTTTACAGGAAACAGCGTCGGCAGTATTCACTCCTTCAGAAAGAGAAGTGGGAGAAGAAACTTGCGATACGCCGAAAACAGAAGCAGCAACAGCAGAAGTCAGCCAAACGCGCTGGCAAGACGAAAACAGTCAAGATAGCCGAATCCTAGCCTTGGACACCTCCATTCTGCCTATGGAGACTTATGTAAATACACATTCACTATTGCTAAATCGACTTCTTTCAGCGAGCCCTTTGGCCTTGAAGTTGACACTTCCGACAGCGTGTTCATCATACTTATTTCCTTGATCCATAGTGGTTCAGACGACTTTTAGCTGTCTAACCCGTAAATGATACATTCGAAGCTATGCTGTGGCAGTGTATTCCACTCGACCGTAGAAAAAGAAAACACGAGGGCATAATAGGGATTTACTTCCATTGCTACAGCGTAACGTTTTTTTATAGTGTATTTTAGGGTAATAGGCACTGCGCTTGATGACCCTATTAAAAACGGTACATACAATATAAATGTTAAATGCGCATCTTACTAAAATTTGGCCAGTGACATATTTGTTTACGAAACACGTTTTTACAGTGCGGGACTGCGAAGAGTGCAGCAGGCGGTCTTTTGAATGTACATATGAAATTTTAATTGCAATTATATGGAAGTTCGACCATCGATTTCGATGATGTCCACCGTATGCCCCACAGCAGGTGGGAGCAGGGACGGTGACTTGCGCAGGGGTTTATAGTGCCGGTAGACTTGCGCTGCATCTACCTACACTCTCTCCTCCTCCCCCGCCTGAGCCCGGTGTTAAGACAGAGTCGAGAAGACCGGAGACGAGGGAGGCCGCAGGTGGATGGCTCGGACGGATCTTCACCTTGGCGTTCCACCACACCCCCTGGTCCACACAACAATAACCAGGATTTCAACCAACACAACAGAGATTTGGAGGCTGGCACGGCCGAA